ATATCATTGTTCCCTTGCCGGGATGTTTGTTTGATATTATTGTTCCCTTGCTAGGATATTGTTGAGAAATCATTGTTCCCTTGCCGAGATGTTTGTTTGATATTATTGTTCCCTTGTCGGGATGTTTGTTTTGATATTAATGTTCCCTTGCCGGGATGTTTGTTTATTGTTCTTGTTCCCTTGCCAGGATTCTTTGTGATTATTGTTGGCATGTAAATGGGAGCAGGTGGTACGCCTACCACAAGATATAATGAAATGGGAGCGGGTGGTACGCCTACCACAAGATATAATGAAATGGGAGCGGGTGGTACGCCCTACCACAAGATATAATGAAATGGGAGCGGGTGGTACGCCTACCACAAGATATAACGAAAAAAGAAGCGGGGGGTACACCTACCACAAGATATAATGAAATGGGAGCGGGTGGTATGCCCTACCACAAGATATAATGAAATGGGAGCGGGTGGTATGTCTACCACAAGATATAACGAAAAGGGAGCGGGTGGTACGCCTACCACATGATATAATGAAATGGGAACCAAAACATATATGAAATGGGAGTGGGTGACATGCCTGCCACAAGATAGATGTAATGGGAGCGGGTGGCACGCCTGCCACGAGATACATGAAATGGGAGTGGGTGGAACGCCTGCCGCAAGACATGAGAAATGGGATAGGGTTGCACGCCTGCAACAAGATGTGATCTGAAAGTGAAATCTGCCTTTGTTTTCCTTATTCTTGTTAGTGGTTGGATTTTTATTCCTTTATAATGCTGATGTCGTGCACTTTCTACTGTTGTGTTTATTTGTTGTTATCAATTCAAGTGTTTAAACTGTTTGAATTCCTTTATTGTTGTGATCCTTCGTGTTAGAACCTACAGTGTTTGCAATATCTCACCGCATTTAGACATATATATATATATATATTCCAATACTTCAAACTTCTATAATTGTTACACCCTTAATTCAATTAATTTCTCAATTCTATCCCCTTAAACCGTTTGAGGTTGTACTTTACTTAAAAGGGGATTTCTACTATGTTTTGATTTGTTGAATTCTTGTATTAAAGAAAGTGATTCATTCGATATTGTACTTTAATTGAAAAGGGTATTTTCTTTATCAAATGATTTTTAAAAATAACTTCACCTTTTCTTGTTGATTTCCTAATTGGGTTTGAAGCTGTACTCTACTTTATGTTAAGTGAATGAGGTTCATTGAACATTCTTAATTGTATTGGGTTATGGAACCTATAAACTGAGTAATACGAGAATATTGTTGTGCAATGTGAGACAGAAATATGTGGGCACATGGTGCCGGGGAAAATATTATGGTTTTATTTAATGCACGTGAGTTGTCCGCGCGGTTGTGATATAAGTATGGGCATGAGGTGCCGTGAAAATATGAAAGTGGGTTGAGACGTCACAAGGTGACCTTTACTCGAAAGAATTATATTCGAAAGATGCTTATTTGAAAGATTTATATTTGAAGGACTTGATTAATAGATTGCACTTGTATTTATTATTTGTTGAGAAATCTTTATGGTATTCTTGTTGCCTGCTTTTTATATCACTGGTTGATCATTGTTGCCATCTTTGTTATCTGCTTCCTATTTTTTTTGTACGCTATATTGCACATGTTGATTTGGTAGTCTGGTCCTAGCCTCATCACTACTTTGCCGAGGTTAGGCTAGGCACTTACCAGCACATGGGGTCGGTTGTGCTGATACTACACTTCTGTACATTTTTGTACAAATCCAGGTATTTGATCGATAGTAGCTGTTCGTTGCGGTGGAGACTCAAGGTAAACCTGCTGCAGCATTCGCGGTCCTCGGACTCACCTTCAATTGTACTTATTTCCATATGTTCCCTCGTTTCGGAATAGTGATGTATTTATTTTGTATAACTACTCTTAGAAAGGCTTGTGACTTGTAACCACTGGTTTTGGGAATTGTAAATTGTTAAGGGTTATTGAATTTAAAGTTGGCAAATATCAATATTATTTCAGTTAATGTTAGGCGTACCTAGTTTAGAGACTAGGTGCCATCACGACTTATTCGGAAGGGATTTTTGGGTCGTGACAGGTATTATCATACCCTTTTTGTATATTATTTCAAAATCAAAAGGGGCTAATAAAGCTTGCCACCTTGCAAACATTCGTTTGGAAACATCATGTTTAAAATATTTATTAAAGATAAATTTTGTAGCCTTACAATCAGTTCTAATTAAAAAAAACTATTGTATAAGTCAGTTTGGAATTTCATTACACATTTAACAATAATAAGAATTTCTTTAGCTACAGTCGCATAATTCTTCTGGGATTCATTCCATTTTCCAGAATAAAATTGAACAAGATATTCTTGTGTATCTAATGGATAACATTGTTTCAATATCCCACCATAGCCAATATCAGAGGCATAAGTTTTCACAACCTTTGCCCAAGTGGGATTAGCGAGAGTTAAACAAGAAAGGTTATGAACCTTATCTTGAACCTTCTGTTTTATTCTCTTGACTAATTCAGTATGACTATGAGTCCAAGCTTTTGGATTCTTCTTTAATCTATCATAAAGAAGCGCAGTATCTTTAGCAAGATCCTTTATAAAATGAGAGATATAATTCAGACTTCCTATAAATCGCTGAAGCTGGGTCTTATCCGTAATAATATCAGGGAATTTAGAAGCAAATTCAATACTTCTATTAATAGGTATAATCCTCCCCTTTTCAATATTATGACCAAGGAATCTAACAGTATTTTCAAAAATTATCATTTTTGGTTTGGATATAACTAAACCATTTTGAATAATAATCTTTTTAAAAAAAATCTAAATGATTGAAATGGGATTCTTTAGTTTTTGAAAATACTAGAATATCATCAATATATACAATTATGAAATCCGTATAAGGAAGAAAGACATCATTAATAATTTTTTGAAATTCGGAAGGTGCATTTTTCAATCCAAAAGGCATAACATTCCATTCATATTGGCCCATTGGCACATTAAAAGCAGTTTTATACCTATCCGATTCAGATATTTGAATTTTCCAATAAAAGAATTTTAAATCAAATTTTGAAAATATAATGGCATCATGTTGTAAGGACCCGATTGTTCGTATTGTGCTTTTGCCCTTTGATCGCCAGTTTTTTGGGCACCGTGTGATGTATTATGACTTATGTAAATCATTGGTTTTGGTTTTCAGGGTAATCAGAATGAATTTGGAAGAAAACAGTTCTCAGTTGTAGATTGAAATTCGAAAGGTTTGACTTGTTTGTATATGATCTCAGATCGGAATTTTTATGCTTGGGTTAGCTCTGTTAGGTGATTTGGGACATAGGAGCGTGATTGGAATGCATTTTGGAGGTCCGTGGAAGGTTTAGGCTTGAATTTGCAAAATTGAGATTTCGTGGTTTTCCGGTTGATAGGCAAGATTTTGATATAGGGGTCGGAATGGAATTCCGAGAATTGCAGTAACTTCATTGTGTCATTTGGGATGTGTGTGCAAAATTTCAGGTCATTCGGACGAGATTTGATAGCCTTTTTTATCGAAAGCATAATGTAAGAGTTTTTGGAGTTCTTATGCTTAAATCCTATGTTAAATTGGTGATTTGGTGTTGTTGTGAGCATTCTAAAGTTTTGAACAAGTTTGAACGATGTCATGGGATATGTTGGTACAAATGGTTTGAAGTTCCAGGGGTTCCAGGTAGGTTCCAGGATGTTTTAGGCCGAAAATCATAGCTGTAGCAGGTCTAGAAGGGTTGCAGGCCTCGGAACCCACCAGCACGGTCCGCACAAAAAGAAGTGTGTCCGCGGTAGGTGCTGTGCGAACCGCACAAAATGAAGTGCGGCCGCGGTAGGTGCTGTGTGGATCGCACAAAATGCAGTGCCGCAGTGGTGGGGAACATTTCACTGGTTCTACTTCGGAAGCTCATATCTTTTGATCTACAAAAAATGTTGAGATGATTCAAAAACAACAGTTGTAGCGCTTCGCGTCTAGTTTCCAGAAAGGTAAAGATATCACGATTTGGACATCTGTACCAAAAGTTATGACCAAAATACTAAAGCCTATCACTGCAGATGAAAACCTATGCGGCCGCAGTTGTTTTTGTCCGGACCGCACTGGTTTTGTGAGAACCACGGTCGTTTTTGTGCAGTCCGCAGAGGTGGAAATCCATTGGGTACTCTATAAATACGAGGTTTTGGGTTTTATTTAATATTTTGATCTAGAGAGCTCGGATTTTGGCAATTTTTCAAAGGTTTTTCAAGAAATCCATCGGGGTAAGTGATTCTAACTCAGATTTGGCTAGAGTACATGAATCTATCACTGAATTCATGATTTGGGATGGAATTTGGGAAGAAAAATTGTGAAATCTTTCAAAAATGTAAAATGATGATTTGAAGGACCAAATGGTATAGGAATTTTTTATTGAGAGCCTACCTGAAGATCTGGCAAACCACATTATGCAGAATATTAGACCACCATCTGAAAGTTCACAGTTAGGTACTCCTTTCTGGATGCTTGAAACAAGGGGACATTTTACAGTAAAATCTGCATGGGATTACCTACGAAGAAGAGACAACCCAAAATTAGCTTACAAGATGATATGGGTAAAAGGTTTACCTTTCAAGATATCCTTCTTCCTTTGGAAGGTGTGGAAAGCAAAACTGCCACATGATGATTTTTTGCGTAAAATAGGATACTCCATGCCATCTAAATGTTGGTGCTGTGCTGATCCTAAGGAGGAGTCTTTAGTGCATTTGTTCTTCACATCAAATGCAGCTATAAGTGTTTGGAGATACTTTTTGAGGAGAGCAGGAATAGCATTAGATGGGTTGTCTTTACATCAAGCAATTACAAAGTGTTGGACAACACCGGTTTTACCTAGATTGAATCCAGTGTTACAAGCTTTACCTGCATGCATTGTATGGGAACTTTGAAAGAGAAGAAACAGTTTGAAATATGGAGAAGCAGTATCAGTGAGCAGAGTTATTTACCAGGTGTCATCTACGTTGCAATCGTTGGTCCAACTAGAAAAGCCAGGACTACATGTGCCTCACAAGTGGCTAGACTTACTGACAATGATGGAGCAATACACACCTCGACTGAAATATGATAAAGTGTTATGGGAATTTCCTTCAAGAGGATGGATCAAAGTGAATACGGATGGAGCATGTAGAGGAAACCCAGGGAGGAGTTCAATTGGTTTCTGCATAAGGGATGAGGCAGGATATTTGATATATGCAGAAGGAAGGGAGATCTCTGAAGGAACCAACAATGAGTTAGAAGCGGTAGCTATTGTGGAGGCATTGAAGATGTGCAAAAATCTTAATTATTGCCGGATATGGCTGCAGACAGATTCTATGTTATTAAAGAACATTATAGAGGAATCATGGAAACCTCCATGGTATATTACTGAACATGTAGAGGAGATCTTAAGACTAAAGGAACAAAATACCATCAAGGTCACACACATTCTCAGAGAAGGGAATACATTAGCAGACCATCTTGCCAATTACACCCTCGATGAAGGGAATACTGAATGCCATGGTTTTTGGGATCTGGACTCAAAATGAATGAGGATTATTAATGAAGATAAGATGCAATGTCCTTACATAAGAGTGAAAGTTGCAAGGATTTAGGAGGAAAAGAGGAGTCAGTTTGTTATCAAGCTCGAATCATTCTGGAGGAGAGTTTAGATAGCAATTTTCGGCCTACTTTTTCTTTTTTTGCAGGTTTTTCATCGAAGCTAATGCCTAATATTTTAGTAGAACATGAAATGGTAGTATTAATGCATTGCATTTCAATCCACTGGGAGGACATTAAAGAAGGGTTTTCAAAATTTTACAATATATTATACATGGAAACGACTCACAACAAAGAGAAATAGTGAAATAGCATGGGAAATAAGTTGAGCATGTATTTTTAAGAAGTTTATGCACATTATCAGAAGCCAAATGGTTTGGAGTGCACATGGGGTAACGTGGAAGGCATGGCAGACAGCACATGCTGTCTAGAAAAGGAATCATATGGAAAGGTGTAATACATATGGAAAGTTATCTAGGATACATAAAAGCATGCAATACTTTAGGATGATGGTACTATGGGATATAATTCTTTATGCTTCAGATGTATGTGGAGCTCATGTGTTTCTGGATTTTACAACACAAAGCTGTCTCTAATGGTCACGGAACGCAGCAATGGGGACAGAACTGCCTCTGGATTGACAATGCTGTTTTGATCACGCACGATAGCAGTTTTCATGAATGCCTTTGAAGCTGTCCAACTTGGAATATTCAGCTGGCCCGTGAGTCTTTTGGAAAAATTTCGAACAGGGATGCTCTTGCACGCCAAGTTTAACCAGAAAGTAACTCGAGTCTCGAGGAAAGCATGTGAGTATACTGACAAGGGGAGCATGGGCCAAAATTACAGCATGTGTCTTGAAAAAAAAAAGAGAAAACAGGTGTCAACAAAAGCTGGAATTGCTACAAACAACCGGGAATTTTTAATAGAAGGCACGACCTTAACCTTGAAGACAACAAATGTTGTCGAACAAAAATGGAATGTTATCTCAGATGCAGACTTGTTTTTTACAAAGTTTAATAGCATTAATGTGATATCAATGTTGAGTGCAACACTCAATTTTGATAATAGGCTATTTGTTAAATTCAAACTTTATTCCTTTCATTTCATAGGATATCATGACATTGTATTTTGTCTTATTTTGTTATAAATAAAACTAACCCTAGGCGTATGCCTAGCGGATTGACTAAAAAAATGGTATAGGAATTGGATAATTTTCGTATGGTTAGACCTGTGAGCATATAAGGATTCTAGTTTTGTGAATTTTGTCAAATTCCGAGATGTGGGCACGGGGGTCGGGTTTGACCAATTTCGGGAATTTTGTGGTAATTTGATTATTTTCGAGTGGGCTTTGTTCCCTTATCACATTTTGATGGTTTGGTACTGATTTCGGCAAGATTTGGAGCCTCTGGAGGCCGATTCGAGAGGCAAAGGCATCGCGGGTTAGAGTTCGGACCGGATAGAGGTGAGTAATGACTGAAAATGATGTTCTGAGGGTTTGGAACCCTCGATTGCACATTGTTGTGCTATATTGAGGTGAGGCACACACTTGATGGCGAGCGTGGGGTCGTGCACTATTAGGGGTTGTGACTTGGTTCGTCCCGATTGATGATTTTTACCGCATATTTGATTGAAAACTATTTGCTATCATCATTATTTTGGTTGAAATCCATATTTGGGCCTAGTGCTAGCTATTTGAACCCTTGGGGGATTGTTGTTGATATTTTCTCACTATTTTGACTTTATACTTGAAATCAGTCATGTTATTTTCCATTGTTTTCAAAACTCAGCCATGTTTACTCTGCTTTAACACTTGAAAGGATATTTTAAATAATATTTTGGGTTGCGCATCATGTTTTACTGTTGCCCGAGTGGCTTATGTGATTTTTGACTGAGTAAGGTCGAGGGCATGTATTGTGAGGATACTTTTGGGTCGGGATGCATGCCGCAAGAACGAGTTACTGATATTGATTATGAGGCCGAGCGCTTGAGATATCTCCGCCATGAGGTGGCTTGTTGATATTAATATGAGGTCGAGGGCCTGTTTATGATGCCACGAGATGGCTTGATATTGCGTTTGGGCCATAAGGGGCCCCTCCCGGAGTCTGTACACCCCTAGTGAGCGCGGGTACCCATTGTGATGTGAGATTGAGCCCGAGGGGCTGGTATTGTTCTATGTGATAGCCCGAGG